ATCTTCCATGGCACTGATGGTCTCCTCGGCCGTGTTGCTGGCTCCTGGCCAGGACGATCTGGACTCCTAGAGAGCCTCTGTGGACAGGGAGGAGGCGGAGAGGAGACCCCACGGACAGTGTCACTCCCAACCTGCGCCCCAGGCCTCTGGGCTCTGCAGAGAGACCCGGGGCAGAAGGGTGAGACCGAGCTCCCTCTCCCCCTCTCCTTCCAGCCTGATTGGATGGACCTAGAGAACAGACTGCAGCCCCGCCAGCGGGCTCAGTGGCTGAGCATCGACCCATGAACCAGGAGGTCAAGGTCAGGACATATATCTGGGTTGCGGGTTCCATCCCCAGTAGGGGGCTGTTTCTATGTTTCTATCTCTCTCTCCCTCTCCCTTCCTCTCTGAAATCAATAAAAACACATATTTTTTTAAATATGAGAGGCGCCATTTACATCATCAACATACATTGAATCATGTGAGAGCTGGAGGGTCGGTCACAGCGGTTCCGGAACTGCCAGCCGAGTTCCAGGTGGCGGCAGAGGGCACGGGCTGGAACATCTGTCATGTGCGGAGGGGACAGATGGCTGAGACGCGGTCCCAGGTGCTCGACCCCCAGGTGCTGCCCGCGGGGGTTCTGGAAGGGGACGGGGCAGGGCTGCTCGGGCTTTGCAAGAGTCACCGCGCTGGGCTTCTCCACCCAGCCCCTCCCGGGAGGCCAGCCGGACCCCTGTCGCCTGACCTCTGCGTCATGCCCAGCGGTCGGAACCCTGCAGGGCGGCTGAGCCCCAGTCACGTCTGGCTGTGGGCGGGGTGTGTGGCTTGTGGCGGTGACTCGGCGGCTATATTCAGCACATTCAGGTGCGGGGAGAGGGCCACAGACAAAGAGCGTCCTTGAGGCTCCGGGGACTGAACTGGGCGAGGCCCGAGGTGTGCACAGAGGCCGCGGCTGGGCGCGGCGGGGGTTCCGGCCCTGTCCGAGGGGCTGGGACCGGCGGGGAGGCAGGAAGGGCGGGGTGGGGAGCGCAGGAAGCCAGCTGGCCCCGACTCCAGCCAGTGAGTGCATTTACTTTTTCTACTCAGCGAGGGAAACAGGGAGGCCCGTGACCCGGAGCCGCGGGCACGAGGGCCCTCCTGGGGCACGTGGGGTTCCGGGGAACGGATTCATGGTGGAGCTGGCCTCAGGTCACAGAGGCCGGGGGTTCCTGCGAGCTGATCTCTGCTCAGGAGAACCCCGCCCGCTCAGGCCTGGGTCCCTGGGGCAGGGCCCTCTGCTGCTGTCTGAACCCAGCCTGGGTCCCTGAGGGCTCGGGGCACCCACCAACGTGGGAAGCAGAGGAGGGGGAGCCAGGGGCCTGGCCCCCAAGCCCACCCTCCTGGCAGAGGCAGTGCCACGGGCCGGAGGGAAGGGACAGCAGCCTGCCCGTACCTGCATCGTGGGCAAGGGCCTCACCCACGGGAACCGAGCCACCCCCACAGCACAGACGCTCCACAGAGCACGACCTTTGCACTCAGAGCGAAAGCCAGAGTCCTCACAGAGGCCCCCGTTTCCCTCCCTCTCCCTCACTCGAGCCCCAGCTCCCGGCGGCTCCTCGGAGGCATGCTCCCACCCCAGGGCCTTTGCACGGGCCCTGCCCTCAGACGGCCGACTCTCTCTCTCTTGTTAATATATATTTTTATTGATGTCTAAGAGTAAAGGAGAGGGAGAGAGAGACAGAAGCATCAATGGTGAGAGAGAATCACTGATCTGCTGCCTCCTGCATGCCCCACACTGGGCATGGAGCCCGCAACCCGGGCATGTGCCCCGACCGGGAATCGAACTGTGACCTCCCGGTTCACAGGTCGACGCTCAACCACGGAGCCGTGCGGCCGGGTGAGATGGCTGACTCTTGACCCAAATGTCACTTTCTCAGAAAGATCCACTTAAAGCTGCAGCGGCCCCCAGCCTCTCCCTCCTCACCTCGCTGTTCACCATCTTTCACCACATTACGTGTTATGATTGCTGTCATTACCCTCCGTGTCTCCCACTAGACCAGCGGTTCTCAACCTTGGCTGCACATTAGAATCACC